GTGGGTGCTAAGGTCAAGAATGGTCCTTGCGCTTCATCCTTTGAACCGGTTTTGGTGAAGCACAGGATCGATCGGCAGGCCTATCATTCTGGCGCGTTTGTAGGTAACCACATCAACAAAGCACAACAACCGTCAGTAACTCGTGAAATTGTATCTGCTCCGGTCAATGTAGTCGCCTCTGTTGTCAATCCTGATGGTGCCCACTTTGCTCCGACACAGTCTCAGCATCAACTGATCCAAGCTGCCGCAGAGTGCTCCCAGAGGTACCTGTCGCTTTTTGCTGCGTACGCCAGTTGCAGAGCCGTCTTCTCTTCGACTAGCGCAGCTGACGACACTGTCACTTCCAGCTTGCAGGAGAAGATCAATTCCTTCATGGCGAATGTCCGGTCCGAGGTAGTAGCACGCCACAAACGCCCTGTAACTCCTAAGTTGCACCTTCTCGAGTGTCATCTTGTCCCCTGCATGGAGAGGTTTGGCATGGCTCTTGGTGCTCTTGGAGAGCAAGGTGGCGAGTCCATCCACCACAAGTTCAACATGTTGCGCCACACTCTGCAAAATACGAACAAGGATGTCGACCGCCTCAGGATTCTAGTGGCCCAGTACCTGACGACAGCGCTGCCAACTCACAACAAGCTGATCGTGCCGGCTGCCAAGCGCAAGAAGACAAGCTAGCAATACGCTGAGTATGTGACGGCCACTGGGTGGATCATGGAGCGAGCTGCAGGATCCACGCGCTCCGCAGGTAAAGTATTTCTGACTATGTTTCTGAAATTGAAATGTACTAATACTCTTGTCAACTTCTTACAATGTTGTACACACAGCAGGTAGAACTGGCACAGACAATGTTGAGTCAAATCCACAAGCCATGCTAAGAACATGGCTGGATATCAGGTGAGGGGCGCTTCTTCAGGCAGGCTGGGGCAGGTAAGTCAAACCAACTACCGACATGAATTACTCGTTCAATACTACAAAATTATTCACAAGCTCAAAATGCTACGATTCAACGCAAGGTAGGGTGCTCCTTGAAAGAGAGTGAAACAGGCTGGGCCATGGGGCGCAGGTAAGTCAAATCCACAGGTTGAAGCTATAAATCCACAACATAACGTCAGGCTGAGAGAATTGGCAGCTGATCCTGTTTCTAAAATATTACTTTGCTGGCGAACTAAAAAATTCTGAACGCCGAGGTAGGTGGAACTGGGGCGCTCTTTCAAGAGCGGGTGGCAGGTGGGCCAGGTAAGTCCATTAGACACGTTGAAGCTATACATCTACCATATTACGCTAGGCTGAGAGTAGCTTTGGCAGCTAATTGTGATTCTAAATATTACAGTTCTGTCTAACTGCAAATTCTGAAAGTCGAGGTAGGTGGAACTGGGGCGCTCTTTGAAGAGCGGGTGGCAGGTGGGCAAGGTAAGGCAATTCAACATGTTTGAAACAATAAAGTGTGCATGTCACAGCCATACCTCCAAAGGACTCGTCTTCCAAAGCTAAAACTCCAAAACGATGAACGAAGCGAAGTATGCTTCGAGTGGTTCTTCTTGAACATTTTTCGAAAATCAATGCAAAACGTGCATTGTTGTACAAAAATTGTACGGTCGCTTCGCTGACGCGTACGCGACGCGCGCGGATCACCATCACAACCTTTTGCGAAAAAAGTCGGTAAAAAAGACGCCATCTTACCATATGCACAGCGCGAGTCAGCCGTGTGACAGCACCAGCACTGACAACACCAGCACTGACAACACCAGCACTGACAGCACCAGCACTGACAACACCAGCACTGACACCACCAGCACTGACAACACCAGCACTGACAGCACCAGCACTGACAACACCAGCACTGACAACACCAGCACTGACAACACCAGCACTGACAACACCAGCACTGACAACACCAGCACTGACAGCACCAGCACTGACAGCACCAGCACTGACAACACCAGCACTGACAACACCAGCACTGACAGCACCAGCACTGACAGCACCAGCACTGACAACACCAGCACTGACAACACCAGCACTGACAACACCAGCACTGACAACACCAGCACTGACAACACCAGCACTGACAGCACCAGCACTGACAGCACCAGCACTGACAACACCAGCACTGACAACACCAGCACTGACAACACCAGCACTGACAACACCAGCACTGACAGCACCAGCACTGACAGCACCAGCACTGACAACACCAGCACTGACAGCACCAGCACTGACAACGCCAGCACTGACAACACCAGCACTGACAACACCAGCACTGACAACACCAGCACTGACAACACCAGCACTGACAACACCAGCACTGACAACACCAGCACTGACAGCACCAGCACTGACAACACCAGCACTGACAGCACCAGCACTGACAACACCAGCACTGACAACACCAGCACTGACAACACCAGCACTGACAGCACCAGCACTGACAACACCAGCACTGACAACACCAGCACTGACAGCACCAGCACTGACAGCACCAGCACTGACAGCACCAGCACTGACAACACCAGCACTGACAGCACCAGCACTGACAACACCAGCACTGACAACACCAGCACTGACAACACCAGCACTGACAGCACCAGCACTGACAACACCAGCACTGACAACACCAGCACTGACAGCACCAGCACTGACAGCACCAGCACTGACAGCACCAGCACTGACAGCACCAGCACTGACAACACCAGCACTGACAGCACCAGCACTGACAACACCAGCACTGACAGCACCAGCACTGACAACACCAGCACTGACAACACCAGCACTGACAACACCAGCACTGACAGCACCAGCACTGACAACACCAGCACTGACAGCACCAGCACTGACAACACCAGCACTGACAACACCAGCACTGACAACACCAGCACTGACAACACCAGCACTGACAGCACCAGCACTGACAACACCAGCACTGACAACACCAGCACTGACAACACCAGCACTGACAACACCAGCACTGACAGCACCAGCACTGACAACACCAGCACTGACAGCACCAGCACTGACAGCACCAGCACTGACAACACCAGCACTGACAACACCAGCACTGACAACACCAGCACTGACAGCACCAGCACTGACAGCACCAGCACTGACAACACCAGCACTGACAACACCAGCACTGACAACACCAGCACTGACAGCACCAGCACTGACAACACCAGCACTGACAACACCAGCACTGACAGCACCAGCACTGACAACACCAGCACTGACAACACCAGCACTGACAACACCAGCACTGACAACACCAGCACTGACAACACCAGCACTGACAGCACCAGCACTGACAACACCAGCACTGACAACACCAGCACTGACAGCACCAGCACTGACAACACCAGCACTGACAACACCAGCACTGACAACACCAGCACTGACAACACCAGCACTGACAGCACCAGCACTGACAACACCAGCACTGACAACACCAGCACTGACAACACCAGCACTGACAGCACCAGCACTGACAGCACCAGCACTGACAACACCAGCACTGACAGCACCAGCACTGACAGCACCAGCACTGACAACACCAGCACTGACAACACCAGCACTGACAGCACCAGCACTGACAACACCAGCACTGACAACACCAGCACTGACAGCACCAGCACTGACAGCACCAGCACTGACAACACCAGCACTGACAACACCAGCACTGACAACACCAGCACTGACAGCACCAGCACTGACAACACCAGCACTGACAACACCAGCACTGACAACACCAGCACTGACAACACCAGCACTGACAACACCAGCACTGACAACACCAGCACTGACAACACCAGCACTGACAACACCAGCACTGACAGCACCAGCACTGACAGCACCAGCACTGACAACACCAGCACTGACAACACCAGCACTGACAGCACCAGCACTGACAACACCAGCACTGACAACACCAGCACTGACAACACCAGCACTGACAACACCAGCACTGACAGCACCAGCACTGACAACACCAGCACTGACAACACCAGCACTGACAACACCAGCACTGACAGCACCAGCACTGACAGCACCAGCACTGACAACACCAGCACTGACAGCACCAGCACTGACAGCACCAGCACTGACAACACCAGCACTGACAACACCAGCACTGACAGCACCAGCACTGACAACACCAGCACTGACAACACCAGCACTGACAGCACCAGCACTGACAGCACCAGCACTGACAGCACCAGCACTGACAACACCAGCACTGACAACACCAGCACTGACAACACCAGCACTGACAACACCAGCACTGACAGCACCAGCACTGACAACACCAGCACTGACAGCACCAGCACTGACAACACCAGCACTGACAACACCAGCACTGACAACACCAGCACTGACAGCACCAGCACTGACAACACCAGCACTGACAGCACCAGCACTGACAACACCAGCACTGACAACACCAGCACTGACAGCACCAGCACTGACAACACCAGCACTGACAACACCAGCACTGACAACACCAGCACTGACAGCACCAGCACTGACAGCACCAGCACTGACAACACCAGCACTGACAACACCAGCACTGACAACACCAGCACTGACAGCACCAGCACTGACAGCACCAGCACTGACAACACCAGCACTGACAACACCAGCACTGACAACACCAGCACTGACAACACCAGCACTGACAACACCAGCACTGACAACACCAGCACTGACAACACCAGCACTGACAACACCAGCACTGACAACACCAGCACTGACAACACCAGCACTGACAACACCAGCACTGACAGCACCAGCACTGACAACAGCAGCACTGACAGCACCAGCACTGACAACAGCAACAGCAAGTTTAGAATGCTAGTTGACTGCCCAAAGCCATACAAAACCCATACTCACCAAATAACACCCAACCCTGGTTTCGACTTTTGGTGCCACATATCACATTCGCAAGAGTGAAGTGATTTTCAAACAATGTCGATAAATTCATGATGCAATGGGAAACACAGGTGACAACTGCTGACCTTCAAACGTTCACCCAGAACAGCATAATCTGCCAGAGCCTGTCACAAAGAAAAGACATGTAAACAGTGGCAAAAAAGCATGAGATGCAAAATCGGTAGAGAATTCATGACTCCCATGTATGAGACTAAATCAGGTGGCTTTCCGTGTCCATGGGAGCACCACAACCACCACCCCAAGCAGTGTCCATGGGAGCACCACAACCACCACCCTCAAGAGCAGCATCAAATAATACATGTATGGACAAAAAATGTAACCAGTTACTTCACCTATCCACAATGAGCTCTCAGCCGAGTCACTCCACTTGCACATCACCATCACTACTCCACAATGCGCTATCAGCCTTGCATATGATATCACCATCGTCACTCCACAATGCGCTATCAGCCGAGTCACTCCCCTTGCATATCATCATTATAGCGAGGACAAATCCGCAGAAATTTTGAAATTTCAGACCCTCCAGACAGATGTTTCACTCCAACAGAGCTTATCAGTGGAGGGAGTAGATAATGAACGATTAGCGCGATTGAATGAATGATGTTGCATAGGGCAAAACTGGTGCAATTGCGCACGTTCTACATAGAAGTGTGCGCATTGTGGAGTTGTGAAATGACTGGTTTTAAAACAGTCTTCAACTCTTCATCCTATCTTCCGCCTGACACAGTCCACAGGCTGGAAGGTACATCAGTTACACCGCTCAAGTTTTATTTTCTCCTATGCCCATTTCTCGAGTAGCCGTAGCTTGCTTCATGGATTACATCACATGTTGATGATGCAGTGCGGACAAGCAGGATCCCAGCAGGTCTCTTGCTGCAAAACTGCAGCTCAGTTGTACGCACTACACCAATTCCAGCTACTGATCTGCATAACCAGTGATGTAATCAATGAATCTTGCTGTGACAGACAAGCATACAGAAGCTGAACACTCTGCTTTTCAAATAGCACATAGTACAAACAAGAACAGTGCTGTAGTCATGGATATAAGCAATCAGACTGTAGTCATGGATACAAGCAATCAGACTGTAGCCATGGATACATGCAATCAGACTGTAGTCATGGATATAAGCAATCAGACTGTAGTCATGGATATAAGCAATCAGACTGTAGTCATGGATATAAGCAATCAGACTGTAGTCATGGATACAAGCAATCAGACTGTAGTCATGGATATAAGCAATCTGACTGTAGTCATGGATACAAGCAATCAGACTGTAGTCATGGATACAAGCAATCAGACTGTGTAGGCACTGACAATGACAATACTACACATGTACACTGCCACTAGCGCTACATGTATACCAGCCGGTACACTGCCAACAACACTACATGACGTATCAGTGACAGTAACAAGGTCAGTGACAGTGCCAAGGTCAGTAACAAAGTCAGTACCAAGGTCAGTAACAAGGTCAGTGACAGTAACAAGGTCAGTAACAAGGTCAGTGACAATACCAGTATAGAACACATCACTAGCAACCTCACCTGTTCACTTGTAAAATAGTTCAACTTCTCTGGAGTCTGTGGAACACAAAATACCAAGATGGGGAGAGAGAGAGAGGGAGAGAGAGAGAGGGAGAGAGAGAGAGAGAGAGAGAGAGAGAGAGAGAGAGAGAGAGAGAGAGAGAGAGAGAGAGATGGCGAGATGAAATGGGGAGGGGGCAGGCGGAGAGTAAAAATGGAGTGAAAACACACTAAGAAAAAGATTCATTTTCGAACTACGGTAACCAGCCAGTATTGCACCGACGGCTTACAAGGTTCAGCAGAAGACATTTTACTTGAACCGTCTGTCGTCGCTGCCGTCATAATGAAACAAACAAGTTCTGCAGTTACATAGTCAACCAATTTCAAACTTTGTCACCACGTCAGTATACTTTGCGACGTGTAGTTTTAGCGCAACCTATTCTGTGTACTTCTCTTTGTCCTTGTGATTGACTTGGCACATGTGATAGCTGTGTGATCCTGTTCTACACCATTGTATTCGTGTTGATGTGTCACATGTGATTGTTGAGTGTACACACATTGCGCCAGTATCTTCTATAAAACAGTATCATTTAGTTTAACCCCTTTCATTCAATATCTGTTTCTCCTCTGATGAGTTCCCGTCATCATAATGGAACGGAATAAGGCTTATTAGGAGCAACTTCTAGCTGTCGTGGAGTGCGGCTGGTGAAATGTTCGTGGTGGTGTCTGCAAGCGTCGTGTGGTCTCGTCTGGTCACAAGAAAAATCTACCACTGCCTGGTAAAAGTACGATAAATGCAGGAAAGTTGCCTTGTACAAGGGTTCGCACCCTGCCTGAAAGGATTGGGTAGCTTTTCAGGCTTCCCGCCAGATTATTGTAGTTGCCTTGGAAACTTCTGTATAAATACGACTTATAGGCTGTTTTGAATCTAGTCTGGAGACAGCCTGAAGAGCAATATTCATAATGATATTGGGAAAGGTGATTCCAAGTGTGTATCTGAGTTGACAGCGATGCCACACATCAATCTTACTTTCTTATATTATTCTGCAAGAATGAATGTACATGGACAGTTGAACTGATTAGAATCGTCCGTAACTCGGAACATACATACGGAGTGCTTGCAAGTCAACACGGTCAATGTCAATTAAAAATTCTGTGTGATTCGTTGAAAACAAATTCTTTGCGACTCGAGATGGTCAGAAAGTTGCCTCGTAGATGGGAGTACCCAGATCTGGAAAACAAGATTTGGGGAGCTTTACTGTAAACCACTGAAGCAGAGCACGTTATTGCTAATCACGCATCCGTGCTGTCAAAAGCACACATTAATTACATGCAGGGTTGCTGAATTACTGCATGAACTACTTACCGAATAAGACTGAGCACCACAAGGCATAGATTGACCATAGTAACGATGTTCAGCAAACACTACAGCAGCATGAAACTCTTCAGCCAGCTCCCACATGAACCCCTACAACACAAGAATATATCAAGCAAAACATGTCTGAAATCCTATACAGGTACATGCTGTATTGCACATTCAGCACATTCAGCACACACAACACTGGATATGGTACAAATCAAGGTGCTTCCTCTTCAACAGTGAACTGCAAGAACAAATTGCTAGATTGTAGTCTCACTTGCATGACATCACTGCCACCGATGTCTGTACCGTCACTCTCTCTCTCTCTCTCTCTCTCTCTCTCTCTCTCTCTCTCTCTCTCTCTCTCTCTCTCTCTCTCTCTCTCTCTCTCTCTCTCTCTCTCTCTCTCTCTCTCCCACCTTATTCCCAATCGAACACGGGTGAGTAGCTGGTCACGAACTCATGCGTACACCAGTCACCTGGTCACCGTGCCTGCAGGCTACAACTTTTACAGCGTTTCTGTCACTCGAGTTGAACTTTTGAACCTTTGAGTTGAACCTTGGTGTGAAAATTGTAGCCTGCAGGCACGGTGACCAGGCGACTGGTGTACGCATGAGCACGTGACCGCTTACTCACCCGTGTTCGATTGGGAATAAGGGCCGAACGCTGCATCGCAGCCTTTTCGGACCAAAACCAGTCGACTCAGCGTCCAAAAGACTACAACATATGGACCAATCGCGATCATCCATGCTTTTACAAGAACGAAACGGCGATTTTAGTGACTTTTGCGTACAAATCCCCATCTAGTAGGGCGCAGTTACCCAGTTTCGGTTGAAGTGCACGAGTTCGATTGGGAATTAGGCGCCGGTCACACATGCAGGCGGCGACACCGCTTTTGCGGCTGCCTCCAACACGCTGGCAGTGGGCGCTTTTGCGGCTCTTTTCTGCCGGCGGTCACACATGCAAAGGCTTTGGTACGCACGCAGCTTCACGGGTCTCCACAGATGTCGTAAAACTTTTCTCTGAAAAAGACTGTAGCCTCAAAATTCTTCAGGAAGTTACCTGCTTTGTTGCATTTTGACTGAGTTGGCTGTTTCATTTTAAATTCCTATCACTGTTGTCTTTCCTTTCCTGCGCTGGTATGGATCGCAGAAACGCCCAGAATCGCCGACTACGTCGTGACCAGCGACTGCGGAGAGCTATGGAGATTGCCTCAATATTCATGTTGTTCAATTTCTCTTCGCTTGAATCTTGCGGAAGCTCCTTGAGCATCGGTGGACGCCTGAGTCGAGTCCCATGTCGGATGGGACTCGACTCTGGTGTCATGGTGTCTTGTCTTGACCTCGAAATAGAGGGAGAGGAGCAGTTGCTCTTGGTCAGCAGTCCACTTCATGACGAGAGATGAAAAACTAATTTTTCCAAGATCCAAGAGATCCAACAACGACAACGCCGCAAAAGTTGCACTACCGCTTTTGTGTTTCGCCACCAATTTTTTGGTTGTGGCGCTTTTGAGATTGCCGCCGTGGCGCCAGTGGCGCCAGGCGCAGTATCCATGGTGATCCGGGGATATCCCAACTTTTGTGGTGCAGCTTTGGTGGTGTCGCAAAAGCGCCATGCATGTGTGACCGGCGCCTAAAGGAGGAACGGAGCGTCTCAGCTTCCTCGGACCAAGTCCATTCGACTCAGCACCCCGAAGACTACAACTGCTGAAAAAATTTGATTTCAGGGTATACTTCCCCTTTAAGTGGGAGCTTGCGCTTTTCCTACCGACTTGAATTCTCACTTGACAAGCAGGAAAGGCGAGAGCTCCCATGTAGGGAGCAACACACAACTCTCCGTATTGCCGAAGTCGCTACAACCTCTTCTTAGAACAGAGACTCACTGTGTTAGCAGCGAACAGTTCAATATCTCCTTCATTGCCCGTATAAAAGAAGATGGGAGAACCGGCTTGGAAATGATCTAAGTTGATAAGGTAGCGCTGCTCATAGGAACCATCCTCAGCGAATCCAAAGTGATCAATCTAAAGTAAATGTTGGCAAGAAAATGTGATGCCCACACACCCACACACACGTGCGAACGCATGTACACACCCATGCACACACACACACGTGCGCAATCGTGCACACCAAACAGAAGAAAAAAACAATCTCAAATTGAGCAAGTTGGAGGGTACACTTCTCATGATACTGAACATCGAAACACTTTTTTGAAGAATTTGCGGAATTCCACCCTGTCTGTTTTCATTGTGTCGTTTTCATTGTGTCGTTTTCATTCTGTCGTTTGACATGTAGTAAACACAGCTTCCACTGCACAGGTCAGGACCGCGGAACCGGTCTGGTTGGTCAGGTTAGTACCGTACCAACTTTATGCCAACCAACACGTGTTTACAACTGTGGAGGTTATCTGTGCCCGCCATATCACACACACACACGCACATGCACACACACACACACACACACACACACAAACTGTATGAAAGGCCATGATACCACCGGACCGACCAAAAACTGCTTCCGGCAGTCCTGCAGGTACGTGTACGATGTACATGTACACCGAACAAGCACAAGGCTAGTTGTGTTTTCCAATTCTGAGTTTCATGCTATGCAATCATCAGACAACATAAAATGCTGTTGGGCCATGCCAGTATTTACACCAGGAGAGATGTGGAGGTGGTACTAGCTTTACAGGGCCGGAGGCAGCTTCCGCGGAGCGGTGCGGCCGAAGGGCCATCTTTAAGGGGGTCCGGGGTCTTCCCCCAGAATTTTTTGGGAATTTAGACGGCAAATCCTGCACTCTGGGGGACTCCCTGTACAAAATCATACATCGAAACTTTTTCTCCCCGGTTTCGGACATTCCACGTGGACCGACTTTTTGGGAAGTTGGTACGACTATGGCCGTACCGGCCGAACCAGTGGCGCCGGCCCTGCTTTATGGTGTGGTACTAGCGTTGCGATGTGATGCTAAGCTTTGAGTGTTGGGCTGGCGGTACTAGTAAGGAGTGTGAAAACAATCAATGGGTATAGTAAACAGACACATTCCAGCCCGGCATATTCTTATACTTCGGTGATTTTCTACGTATGTACTTCAGTACACACACACACATTCAGTACATGTATTTCAGTGCACACACACACACACATTCAGTACATGTAGTTTCACTGTCTGGATGTTCTTCCCCAGCCGGTTCTCCGGTACCCAACGTTAGCACGTTAAAACGGTCCTTCTACAGTGCTGCTCAATGAAAACTCTCATGCATTGCTACTCAATGAAATCTGTTATACATTGCTGCTCAATGAAAACTCTCATACATTGCTACTCAATGAAATCTGTTACCGTAATTTCACAAATTTTCGGTGTGCTTTTATTTTCGGTACTTTCGGTGCATCTGTTCCATATCTAAAATTTCAATACACCGAACAAATACAAACACACATAATCCGGGACTGCTACTCTGTACCTAAATGCTCTGTTCACCCAACCTGGCCTTTTGCCCTCACACCCGAAAATATTGAGCAGCTAAAATTTCTGAAATTAGAGTATACCGTACTGCTCAATGAAATCTGATCTCATGATGGTGGTTAGCACCGTGTACCCATGCACAGCCCAGTGTTCATAGGTCTGGGGCTGCACAGCCCTGTGTTCGTAGGTATGGGGCTGCACAGCCCAGTGTTCGTAGGTCTGGGGCTGCACAGCGCCTGGTGTGACACTGGCTCAGTCGATCGGATTTCATTGAGTAGCACTGTGCAAAGTTACACAATTCACAATTCACAATTTACACACACTACAGTGGGGCAAGTTGGCTTACCAAAACCGGTTCCAATAGGTTGCTCTCACCATGCTCACGGATAATGCCAGTAATGGGGTTTCCCCATTAATTTTTTCCATAAAACAGTATTTAAGGTAGCTCATGCCGAAATACTTTTTCCGAAAATTTACCAGTTTAACACCTTTTTTGCAATGCTATGGGTGTCCAGAATGAGAAAATTAATACATTAGGGTATGTAATTGGGCACTTTGGAGGGGTTATGGCCCCTCGAAGTACCGTATAGCAGGAAATTTTCGGACGGAATTTATTTTCGTATGATTTCGTACACGGCCTCTTTTGTACTAAAATTAATTCCGTACTAAAATGTGTTCATGTGAAACTATGTACACTGTACATGCGTACGGCTTGCGAACACGTGCAGTTAGCACGCAGCACTGTACGAAAATAAAATCCGTCCGAAAGGTCGAATTTTGGCTTTGTCCGAAAATATTTGCGTCCGAAAATTTCCTGCTATGCAGTAGCCCCAACAAGGCGTTCTCTAAGAAAGAGACAGGTTTGCATTGAGGACAATAAAATGCTTCCAACTTTCATCTGTTGCTTCTTGCAATCATGTCAGTAATTTGATATAGTTCCAAATGCTTTGAAGTTAAATTTTGCAAAATACAATGATTGAGTTTTTCTTGCTATTTGCATCGCATTACATCAGTATCGTAAAGTTATGTCAAAATGGAGTTAGGTCATTGGACTCGTTTACCCACTGTTTGCATAAATATGCGAAGAAAAGATCGTCTCTCGTAATTGATTCCAGTGTATTTGCCTCAACAGTGTGTGATTATAGTGGTCCTGAATACCAGAAAAAGAATTGAATTGCACTTATATCATGGTCTCTTAGAAACAAATGAAAAGCGAACTCCTGTTTGTAAAAGTAGGTTTTTCTCTTATTTCGCGACATAACTGCGAGCGTATGGGTGTGTCTTTCACAGGCCCCAAATATAGGGAAGGATTCATTTCGCACTAGCCAAATTTTGGGATGAAAGGGGAAGTATACCCTAAAATCAAATTTTCACCAGTTGTAGTCATCTGGGTGCTGAGTCGAATGGTCTTGGTCCGAGGAAGCTGCGACGCTCCCTTCCTACTTGAATCCCAATCGAACTCGCGCACTTCCACCGAAACTGGGTGACTGCGCCCTACTAGATGGGGATTTGTATGCAAAATGTCACTAAAAGCGCCATTTCGTTCTTATAAAAGCACGGATGACCGCGATTCGCCCATATGTTGTAGTCTTTTGGACGCTGAGTCGACTGGTTTTGGTCCGAAAAGGCTGCGATGCAGCGTTCCTCCTTTATTCCCAATCGAACATGGTTGAACAAGCGGTCACGTGTTCCTGGGTGCCCAAATCACCTGGTCACCGCGCCAGCAGGCGACAACTTTCACACCAAGGTTCAACTCGAGTTCAACTCGAGTGACAGGACTGCACCCAAAAAAGGTCAAACAGGCTAGTAAGTTGTACCCTGCAAGCACGGTGACCAGGTGACTGGTGTACGCAGGAGCACGTGACCGCTCGTTCAACCATGTTCGATTGGGAATAAAGGAGGAACGCTGCATCGCAGCCTTTTCGGACCAAAACCAGTCGACTCAGCGTCCAAAAGACTACAACATATGGGCCAATGGCGGTCATCCGTGCTTTTATAAGAACGAAATGGCGCTTTTAGTGACATTTTGCATACAAATCCCCATCTAGTAGGGCGCAGTCACCCAGTTTCGGTGGAAGTGCGCGAGTTCGATTGGGATTCAAGTAGGAAGGGAGCGTCTCAGCTTCCTCGGACCAAGACCATTCGACTCAGCACCCCGAAGGCTACAACTGGTGAAAATTTGATTTTAGGGTATACTTCCCCTTTAACCCCTTTAGCGCGAGCGTCGTACTAGTACGACGCACATGAGTTGCATGCCCCACGGCCGTCGTACTAGTACGACGCGCGCTGTACACTGTACAGTGAACCTGCATCTCATAGTCGTGGGGTCCGTGTAGAGTCCATAGTGACTTGTTCAAACTATCGTAACTCACTCAATACTTGGTCGATTCTCACAATCGAAACATGTATCTGCAAGAGAAAGCTCTCAGCTGGCGATAGAAACAATCGCCGAAGCGATGCGACTACCGGTTGTTGAGATATGCGACTCGACACGGCAAATTTCAACTCGATTTTTTTGCGCAGTTTGCAGAACGCGTATTTTCCATCATAGATCATTTGTGCGCTACCTGCTGCCATGGAAACAAGATTCAAATGATGGTAGTGGATCCCGTGAGTCCTCACAAAAAATTTGAGCTCGATACGAGCAAGGAGACCGAAATGGCAGCTGAATATTTGAGCTTGGTTAGTCTTGGCCGTGCTCAAGTCTGTCGAGCGCGTGGATGATGTTTGCCAGACTGTAGCACGGGGTTTTGGTTTCGCTCCGAGCTGGGTTTGACACCAGTTTGTCACTCGTCTCAAGACCTTTCCAGGAAGCTCAAGATCGTGGAATTCGTCCAAGGGAAGGTAAAGTTATCGATCCTTGAGCAGCTAGTACTTTCATGGGAAAATGCGACTTTTACAGGTGTTGTCGTGGGGCGCGCTCAGGTAGCGTCGTGCTAAAGAGGTTAACAGCTTGCCCTCATGATGCTTCAACCCTGAAAATTTGAAAAAAAATCGGACAGAAAGTGGTTTTTGATCTCCGATATTTTTCGCGATATAGGCTCAAGCTACCTTAAATTTTTGGAGAATGGAATGAACGAGAATGAAAAACAGAGCCCACCATTTGGAAAGCGGAACCGCTCTACGAATTGTATGTGTAGCTCCCTATCTCCAAGGCAAACGAATAAACACAAGAATTATCATGCTCAGGGAGGAAACATGCGTGACGTTCCTAATTCGCAGCTAAATAAGTGGCGCTGATAATAATTATCAGAAAACAAACACTGTGCTGTTGAGAACCATCGACTAGGCGGGGGGAATGGAGTAAATAGATTTATAAACTAGGTGACGTCTGACGAAACAAGCAGCAATTACCGGTATACACAAATGGCAAATACATGTACCTTTTGTTCGATATATTTCGTTTTCCACTCATAGTCATATTGCAAATCCTTGTCCACGTCCGGTTGCTGAGGTGTGGGAAACACGGCTCTAAAAGAATGAGCATGATGCCAGGATAGTGCAAGGAGCCATACGGCACCAAGAATTTTCAACATCGTTCTACACTTTCTCAATCCCTGTTCCACCTCTTCATTCTAGAACAGACAAGAAACTATTAAAAACAACTCGACGACACCTACAAAATTCAAAAAACAAACTCTTGACTCTTTTCTTGATCTTGCCTTGCCTGAGCTGTGCCATGCGACGTGCACCATGCCACCATGACGTGTAGGTGCTGTCACGTGAGCTGATGCGCTGTTACGCTGTACCAACCAGGGAGTTGTATTTTACTACTCCCTGGTACCAACAGTGCAGTCCATCCTCAACTCAAGCGTGCAAAAAACATATCTCTGCCACTAATATTATAATCGAGACTTAGGGCATGTTCGATTGGTAAGGATCGGGATCGGGATCCAGATCTCAGATCCCTCGGATCCTTCAGATTCAACTGAACACTTTATTTTGGACCTTGACGGTTGCCATGTTGAAAATGGCGCTCACAAGGCACCCAAAAGGGTGAACGTCGTACTCATCCCGTAGGTCGTACAAAAAGTCAACAAGCTCTATCTCCATCCACGTGTGCGTACCACAATGCGTACAAAAATGATTTTTACCAGCCATATATGCACAAAGGTCACATTTGGATCCGTTGGATCCGGTCAACCCTGCTCCCCGAGGAGGGTTGACCGGATCCAAATCCGAAGGATCCGGATCCGGATCCGACCAATCGAAAGGGTGCGAATCCAGTGGATCCGGTGGATCGGGATCCCGATCCTACCAATCGAACATGCCCTTACACTGATTTTTGCGCTTTTGGGCCCAAATAAGTCTTGATGACGGCAAAAATAATTGTCATCTGAATACGGAAGTGAACGAATTTGGTCGAAAGTGTCGAACCACCTTCATGACGAGCAACCGTTTGTGGCCACTGTTTGTGAACTTGGAGCTTGTTATGGTGTGTGTCGGCAGGAATTTTTTTATGGCGATCAGGAAACGTTTTTCACTTCGAAATCAGTGGTTACCCTTTGAAATTGAGATGTTCAAACAGCGAATTTTCTACGTCGAAATGAAGTTGGAGCACCATCGAGTTTGATTATTCCGATTTCCTTGGTGGGCTAAGGTAAGGGTAATTAACAGCTAGACATAAAAATCTCACCTGTTCACGCCCTGTATAATCCAACTTCGACCTTCAAAGTGGGTGTACTCAAGCAACATAAATCATACATGCCGTATACATAAACCTTTGAAGGGAGCATAAAAACCGAGACGCAAACGCATAGCTGTGTATACATGTACATTGTGCATGCACATGTACCGGTATGTGTGTACATTGTAGACCCTAGTTTGTGTTCCTCTGTGTGTCTCGGTGTGTCGTCAATGCTGTATTCGACAACCGTAAGCATAAGGAGAAAGTTGCCGTTGTACGCGCTCTTGTGTGTAGTATGTGTGCCGCGTTCAGTTGCTATCTAGTATGAGATATCGGTACATGTAGCTGGGCTGGTGGTGCGTATTGTCTTGATGTGGATCACCTAACTCGTGGCCTTCTAAAGCCCGTCGAAACGTATGCCGTTTCAGATGTACATGTATGGTCTCGTGGTGTGTGTGTGTGTGTGTGTGTGTGTTGTGTGTGTGACTGTGTGTGTGTGTGCATGTGTGCGTGTGTGTGTCAAAATGCATGCCGTTTCAGATTTATGGTCTCGTGGTGTGTGTCTGTGGTAGGGACCGACGGATTCTGCTCGAAAAGGTGGCAGATTCTGCTCGAAAAGCAGTGAAATTGGCAGAACCATACAAACCTTATGGCGGGCAATTTCTCGAATTCTGCTCCATTTCTTTATCCACATACCAAACATGCATGAACCTTACCAGAAAAAGTACCGAATTCTGCCAATTTTTCTGCCGGCGGAATCCGCTGGACCCTCATCTCTGTGCGTGTGTGTGGGGGGGGGGGGGGTGAGGTTTTGTGTGAAATTTTAATTTTCAGCTATCACATTTCGTTAATTTCTTACTTTTTAGACGGGGTCCATGGACTACAGTGCATTTCAAAACTATAGACGCGTAGGGTTTTTGAAATATTTCAAATTTGGCTGGAACTTTTTGAGAATAGTTTTAGGAATATTGCTCAGGATCGCTCCACAAATACTCTCATATAGTTTCTAAAGGATTGGATAACAGACGCCCAATTTGGAAAAATTTATGCACAAAGTGATCACAGATTTTTATGTGGTATAGATGCTGGCATAACGGTTTTTGCCTAGGTACGCGTCTATAGTTTTGAAATGGACTGTAGAACACAATAACTTTTTTTAGAAAACTGCCATAAAGCAGTTTTTATTGCTATAATTTCTTTTGTTTTTTTCTGTCACCAATCAATGGAATGCCCTATATCAATATGTAAATGATGGCCTTCACATCATATCAATACCGTATTATACGCATTGATGTGCAAGCATTTTCTTGCAGAAAATGGCACTAGCATAATGCATGTTATACCATGGTATGGTACGGAGGGCCTGTTTTCAGCCAATCAGCGCTCGTCTAGCCATGGTTATATTGGCCAGTATAAATCCCGCGCGGGATTTATATAGAATATAAATCCCGGTGCACGGTACGTACGCTAGGGCACTGCCACCGTACATGTTCACTGCCTTTTTTTTTTTTTTTTTTTTTTTTTTTTTTTTTTACTTGTAGTAGTAAAAGCCTCTTTTACGGGCGAACAAAACACAATTTGCCATGGCGGAGGATTGAAAACAAATCACATAATGATGACGTCGCATGTGATCAGACAGCAAGAGAAGCATAGCATAGTCCGCACAATCACGGGGCAAGGCTCAACGGGACACCCTAGCCTCCACGACAGCCAGGGAGGCACAGCCATCCATTGGAGGCTGCCAAACTCGGCGAGCCCCACGCAGACACATGACACTCGAACGCAGCTGGGCGAAAGACAGCCTGCAGCGGAGGTGGGCAATTAGCACAGAATACGCCTCCCTCCCACGTAGCGACTGGAGATGTGCAATCCGGCTCACCAGTGCAGCGGCACCCTTGCCGCATCCTCCGGTGGAAGAGAGCACAAAGGGGAGAAAAGTGGATCGCTCCACTTCTCGGACTCTCCGATCATATCGACGCCGTTTCTCTTGCTCATGGTGCCGGTAGCAGCCAGAGAGAGAGGAGGTGCGGTTCGAAGACGCATAAGGGTTGAACACCCGTACATCAATAAAAGTGCGTTCGAACCGACCCCCCCAAACTCCACTGGCCACCACATCCAAACGAGCTTGATCCTCGGTTGATGCTGACCGGAGCTGAAACTGCTCCCCAGTCAGGGGTTGGAGATGTGGCTCCACTGCGACGTTGTGGGCGACACCCTTCAATGAGCTTGCCAGTATGTCGCGCACCTCGTTGTGGCGGATCGAGGGGAACCCACCGAAAGGACAGGACAAGGCGTGAGCAGTGGTGAATGCCTTCTCGCAAACACAGGTGGTGGGCAGGCGAGCAGGCGTCCAACCGTAACGGAGGCAGAGGCCATCCCGGAATTCCCCCTTCGACAAAGCGAAGCCGTGGCGAGCGATGGGTCGGCAGGTAAGCCAGCTTGATGCTCCCTTCTCCTCTGCCAGACTGATAGCGAGATCGAGTTCGCTGTGTTCGGTGCGGAACGTATCGGCAGCTATCTTCATTGCCTTTCTGGCCTCAGAGCGAGCCTGACTCTTGGCCCTGCGGACACAGGCAAGAGCATCATCGAGGTGCTCTTCTTGCGCCATGATCTTGTCGTACAGCGCAGTGGTGATTAGCCTGGAGGTGCCGTACTGTGAGCCAAAAGTGGCAGGGTTGGCCACGCCGAGGCCTCCATGCCGGCAGGGGAAAGTGAGCAAAGTGCGTTCAGCTTCACTGGGCGCCGTCCGTCCACTAATGGCAGGGATTAGGCGGCGGTGGATGATGTCCTCCAGGGGTGCCTGCTGTTCTGCAGCACCATCGAGAACCCGACACAGGAAGGACCACCGGTGTTGGAGGCTGTTCACCAGTGCAGAGTAAGCTGCTTGAGGCTGTGACCGGGCGAAATCTGTCAGCTTGCACAGCTCCTGCGACCAGGTGGCCACCTTGGAAGCCACAAACTCCTGCACAAACTGATCAGTTCCGATGGCTGATCCAAGGTGACGGCACCCGTCAGTGGTGATAGACACACCCGTGCCGGCGAAGATGGTCTCGGCTGCCTCTAGCTTGTCCCGCTTGACGACGAGGACGGACTTGCTGGGGTTAATGAAATACCCGAACGCCGGCCCATCCCCGACGAGTCGGTCCCACCACTGGCGGAGAGGGTTGAGCCCGCCACCCGCGGACGAGTCATCCGCATACCAGCTCTGGCGTGTTCCTGGGGTTGCCACTCTGCGCACCAGGGGGAGTACCCCCAAAGCGTACATCGGCATAGCAAGAGGATCTCCCTGCGTTGTGCCTTCTCGCGATAGGAGGCACTCCCCGTCCACGAATAGGCGGGCCGGCTGACGGTAGCAGTTTACGATAGCGGGTGTGATGGCTGGACAGAGGTGCGCTACGTTGCGCATACATGCTTCTCTGTTAAGGCGATTGAACGCATTGGATGCATCCGCCATAAGCACAGCGTCAACATCTTCTTCATGGAACGTGTCGTGCATGGCGTGAATGGCCGCCTCAATGCCACATTCCTGGCCTCCGCACATCTGCAGTGACCCTGTCGCCTCACGAACAGAGTCCCCCGCCACGCTCAGAATAGCCTTGCCGATGATACGACGGACGGTTTCACCGATGCCTATTGGGCGCACACCCGGTTTCTTATCTAGAGGGATAAGCCGGCATGCCGTGTAGGCTTCCATCGATGCTGGGTTGACGTACTGAGTGGCGATTCGCCGGGCACAGCTGGCGAGAGCATCACATAGGTCGTCTGAAATGTCCCCAAACGCTGTGCACATACGCCTCCAGCCATCTGCGTCCATCCCAGACGGCCCTGCAGAACCGGTGGTATGCAGTGCAGCTTGGCGCACAGCGGTCCTGTCCAGCTTGGTGAAGAGCACTGGGTGGGGCTGTGCTGGGGGTAGCCCTGGGAGGAGAGCCGCTGCTGTGACTGCCTCGCCCTGTGGGTGCTTACTGCGCAGCACATCAAGCACGGTTGTTTCTCC